TAATATTATTACATTTTCTTAATTGACATCGATAAGTCATCAATAAAATCATTTTGCTATAGCAACGTGTATAATTATAAAACAGAGTTGCTGACAAATTGCCAAATTGTCTTGCGAAATAATCTAAATTTTATTTAGTGGAAGATCGCAATTGAACCCTCGATTGAATTCGAGCTAAATTAAACATCTAGTTTAATTTTGTGTTTTGCATGATAAAAGACTATCAATACCATTTTTAATGCAATTAAATAGATCAAAATTCAGTAACTTGCTTGAACTCTGATTTATATTTAAGAAAGGAATTCATATTTTCCTCGTCGTAATGAAATAAATAAAATTTAAACAGAGATCTATTTTACAATATAAAAATTCCCAATATAAAAAAATCCCAGAGTATTAAAGTCTAGAACGTTTCAAAAAATTTCTTTCTCCCTCGTACAATCGACTCTTCTCAAGAATATCCCGGTGATTTGATCACGCGATGTAAAGATTTAAAAGCACGAAACCCATGGAAAGTTCCAAGTAATTAGAAAATAAATTTCCGACTAATATTTAATTACTGTTCGGTTGGGATTGGTTGAATTATTTGAAATCTCATGGCTGATGCCGCCTCGACCTGGCTGAGACAATGATTCATAAAGCAAAGAGTTTTCTCATAAAGTAAGTATGATAATGTAGGTCGCGACATTCGAGCGACGATCGATCGGACTCGATGGAATTAATTCAATGATCGAACGTTGTTCGGTTCACTTGGCCGTCTATGGCTTATATTACGAGGCTGGCTCTCGGTTCAGCCACCGATTTATGTCTGTCTGCATCGTACATAAGAAAACGATCGCGCAGCTCGATCGTCCCACAGACACTTTTAATCCGTTTTTAATAAGTAATCCGGGCATCATTGTCTCGAGCATCTGTCCATCGTGAGCAGCCGTGACAATTTTAGACTCGAACGATCGATAGCCCGCGTGCTACAGTCTTTTAAAGATCGAATTGAGAAGACTGCTGATTCTCCGTACACTCTCATTTTGTGATGGAATCGAGAAGAATCTTATTTATTCTTTCCAAACGATTAATAACGTATAATTACAATGTAATTTCTGTAGTTGAAAACTTTGTGTTTCATCTTCTACAATAAACGCTAGAAATAAAAAATTTTCTTGCAGATATAGATTTTGATATATTATTACTATCATAAATATTCCTGCTATTCAAGGCAATTTTTCTTATATGCATAGATTGAAAATTCTCTACTCGTAACAGATAATACGATGTGACTGATTACTTTCGGTCCAGTTGCAGCTTAATTATCGCCAATTAAATCTCGTAGTACTTGTCCGGCACAAAGGCAAATGCTTCATTAACTCATTGAGAGTCAACGTTGCGTTAATGCAATATTTGCAGTTTTTTTTTTTTTCAGCCAGGTTGCATTATCGAATTACGAAAGGAAATCTCAATGATCTACTTAATGTTCTTCCGTCGGCATTTCTTCACCCACTTCCATCCTACGATTTTATGTTAGTTTCAAGAAATTGTAACATTTAGGGTACATGTACCGTCTTCTTTTCGTACCTCTAATTTTTATCTTCTCCCCCTAATTTTAATCATCTTATATTCTTTAAATTTTCTATAAGGTATTTAGTATTCTGTGATATCGCTTTTTCAAGCAACTTTCAATTTCATTCAGTCATTTGTACTATAGTTCTATATCCGCAATCACGATTTTAATTCTATAGCATTATGGTGGTATTTCTACAGTGAACAATTTCAATCTTATGATCGATGAGAAGTATGCAAAGCGTCAGGAATCGAATAGCTCAGAAATTCAGCTGATCTCTCGGAAGTGACTAAAAGACTGGAAACTGGCGGCGCGAGATTATAGCAGGAGGAGTCGCCTATCGGGGGTAATAAAAGGCACGCGACGCGTTATATAAAAGTTAAGTAACCGTTCAAAATTCACCAGGCGATGACTCAACGATGAGCCATCAGAAAAACTAATTCCGTTGCGAGATAACGTTTCGGACCTTCAACGGAGATTAATCATCTTTGTGACATAATTCAGGTAAAATATATATTCGCGGTGGTTCCGTTGGCTCTATAGCACGGACGGTGGGGAGGGGGAGGTAGAAGGGGGGATGAAAAGAGATAGAGACAAAAGAGGAAAGATGGTCGTGGTGTTCGTCTTTTGCGAGCAGCAAGAGAACGGACGAGCGAGCGCCAGTTATAATATATATAAGTGGTCTAAACAGGCCAGACGGATGCATCATCGCCATCATCGTCGAGCGAGAAAGCGAAACTCGAGTCGAGCCGTTTTGCTCGTAAACGTCTCGCGGGCTCGTCAATCGAGTAACGAGCGCTCATTTTACGCGCACGATAACGCGTCTGTCGCTCGATCATGATCTGTTCTCGTCTTTCCTTCGGCCATCCTAGTTTTCGCGAATTTCTACCTACCATCCTTCGTTCATTCGTTGCTGCGGAGTATGATGGCTCCGTGGGTGGCGAGAATGTTACATGCATATAGGATTCTAGCGATAGAATTAAATGTTGAAATTGGAGAATTGTATAGTAGTATATTTGGGGAGGATAAATTTTGCAAGTTAACCACCTTTAGATGTTTGTTGTGTGTAAATGACTTAGGAGCAGGGTGATGTCTAGAATAGAGTAGTGTTTTAGAGCGAAGACGAAAACTATTAATAGTAGGCAATTTGTAATTAATATTATTACTAATATTCTTAATATTCTTTTAAGTGTTAACATTTATTGTTTTAGAATATTACTTACAATTTTTATCGGCCTAAAACTTGTGTCATGTTAACGTGGTACGATGAAGATGGATAGTAGGTGTATCTGTGTGTGTTTAATATTTCTTGTTTTAGTATTAATATCTTCAAATGATATTATGTATTATCATGGACTTTCTTTCGTTTATCAATTATCGCTAGTGGAAATGTGGTTTGTGATGAAATTTTCTATAAAGATAATTGCAACTAAAAAGAACTAGGACTTTAAGGAAACATTTTGCAACCCCGTTGATGATGATCTTTCTTGATGACGAGCGGCTTGTAGCTTTCATTCCCTTGTAGTCCAATCCAAGAGATTTTTATATCACGATAGAAATAAAGCTTTCGAAGTGACAAACATTTGCACGTTTATGCATTCTTGCTTTGAGAATAATATTACATCGATTGGAAATTAATTCAATGTTGCACGTTGGAAAAATTGATCGGCACTCCAAACGATATTCTCGCGGCAAGAAACTGTCGTAAAAATTAATGCAGCGACCCAATATTTATCAAAGCCGTGTTAATTATTATATTTCGTCATTCCTTAGTTTACCGTTTCCTTAATGAGTTATTTCTGCGGCTTGATGAATTCCACGTAGGCGAAAGTAAGAACACTCGACTCCGTTAATGCCTGAAAACCATTCGCCTGTATTGCATTTTGCAGCTGCTTCAAAGTTATAAACGAGGTTCTTTTAAGATATAAGCAAGTGGGCAAAGAAACCTTATGAAATGCATCTCGAGATTTTCCGTGGCGTTTGCCTTTCTGTAAAACCACTCTCAGATTCCTTATAATCTCTAGTGGTTAATATTTAACACGATAAATTCAATTCTCATCCTTGTGGATCTTTCCCTTTTGGCGATTTTTTTCAATTACTATTTTGTTTTTCATTTACTTGTAAAGTTTCGTACATAAGTAGAAATTACAAATACAATACGATTGTACAAAAAGTTCTTTGTACGTCTCGTGAGTTCAATTTATTGTGAAATATAATTTATCATACATCTCTATTCGATAGAGACTCGAAGTATGTTAAAATTTCAAAAAGATACAACGACTGTCCAATTTTCATTTATGATAGTTTTCGTAATATTGAAACTTCAGTCAGTGACATTTAAGAACGAAATCTCTTGGAAAAATCTGTTCCATCTAAAAAGTCAAAGTGCTCACCAAGTCTTCTGGCAGTAAAAATCTGTTTTCTATCTTTCTTGCTCTTTTGTTTCAAACTGACGTTATCCCTTCGGTCTGATCTGTCAATTTTATTATCAGTTCACTCAGCGTCTGACTTGTTACGACGCTTTTCTTAGATGTTTTCGTCGTCAGCCCTCGGACCAGACTTTGTTTTCGTGCTAGAAATCCTATCGTCGTATTTCCTTTTTACGCTCTTTCCATTCTTTCGTTTTCGCCTCTTCTCCTTTCAACCAAGTAAGTCAAGTGTCGACGAAGCTAGATAGGGCCTCATTTACAAGCCAGACGGGGTAGGCCACTTGCCCCAAATACGCGTCGAGAGAGGGTATTCTGCCCAGTGGTTGCGACTCATAACTTAAAATAACCCTTCCCTTCGGCCGTCGCCGAATAATCTTTTCGTCTTTTCGTTCTTCGATCCTGTTTCTCCTTTATATTCGTACTACGAAGTTGACGAATACGCGAATATAAATTGAGCGTACTGAGCAATATAATTAGATGGACAGGCAATTGCGTTTTAATTAGGTTCGATAGAAACGACTCTTATAATTTGATTGAAGAATTTCTTTTTTTTTTTTTTTTTATTAAAGACAGTTGCACGATAAACGAAGTATTTCCTTTCTGAAAATTTTGTAATGAAAACTACGAGACAGGTATACCTTAAAATACCTATATAAAACTGCATTATTTTTAGAAAAGACACAATACTGCGTGTACTAAAGATGCAATACACGCGTGTCGTAGGCGGAAATTCAATGTACACGTCGACATTTTTTCCACTATACAGATGCCGTCGTTGCATTTTTGATATTGGAGAAAAAGTCAACAACCTTAAAACTGCAGCAAATTTATGCTGTCTACGCGTATCATGTCCACTTGCTATAATTAAACGATAGGATAAAAAAGAGAGAAAGAAAGAGGAAGAAAAAAAGGAAAGAGAAAAAGAGTAGAAACGTTGTTTATGCAAAACAGCGTATGAAACATTACGTGGGAATAAAAGTTTGCTTATCTTGTATTCATTTATGCTCTGCTCGCAGGTATCTTTGACGAATAATCCGAGCAAAACCGGTCTCGGCGCAGCCAGCGAATTTCCTACAATCGAGCTAGATTCTACGACGGAAAAGAAGCAGGCGTTGTGGCGAAAGACCCAGCAACGTTACAAAGAAATAACCGATCATGCGAAGTAATTGCACGGTGAACCGTTTACCTGGGGAAACGGTTGATTTGCATTGCACGCGCTTTTTCATCATCTGTCACGGTAAGCGAAGACAATTACGTTCAACCGTAACAATTATCATTCACCGTCGCGCGGAACACCGCGAAATTTCGCAAACGTTGACGCCAATTACTAGACTAGATAACATAGCATAGTTTGTATTATATTATGACTTACATCTTCGAGTAAAGAAATGTTTGAGAATTATTAGTAAGTATTGATTTCTGACTGCATAAAGAGGGAATTCGAAGGATCCAATTCAGTGGGATATAATAGTATGTGGTATATAGATGAATTTATACGGTTATATTTGTAACGTTTCTCTGGTATGAGTGAAAATATTTTTGTAATAAATGACATTCTTCTCTTAGTGTTCATATTGCGTGTACATACATTATGAATGAGTTATTACCGAACCATCTTGTTTATTCTTGTTTATTCAATCTACACTGTAAATTCATTATTTTACATTTTCCAGTCCTTTATCCGTGATATTCATTCTCATAGTAAATTTCCTCGCTCTTTCCTTCTGCCAGCTGAAATAACTATATGCATCCTATATATTTCCTGTACCTGGATCCATCTTTTTCCTTGCTTTTCAATTATAATGGAAATTTCTTGCTTTTCTGGTATCACTTCAGATTTATCTCATTGAAATTGCAATATTATGCAAGTTTAATCGATACGTGCAATATTTCAGATTTTATAAAATATTCGCAGGTAAGAACACACACGATCGTTATAAATATTTTTAAATTATTATTACCTTGGAAATTATTAAAGAAATGTTTTGAAGTAATTTTAATGTGCCTTACGAGAATATTTGACCGCTTATAGAAACATTTTATGAATATAATATGTATATTTCATACAAAACATTTTAAAATTCCATTAGCATTATTTGAAAATGTACATAGAAAGTACAAGATATATATATTGCAAACATACTTTTGTTAATGATCATCAAACCATTGAAACAGTCAGTAAATTAATAAAATTAATAAATTAATTTATAAGCTAGTATAACTAATTAATATTAGTGAGATCATTTTACAAATAGCCACGTCTCGTTACAACTTACCATACTTATAAAGAATTTGTTTTATAAGCGTTCGAGTACTTTCACGAGTCACTGTACAGAACAAGGATGTGCAAGTACCCGAAATTTGCTAGCCAGATTCAATTTGGCTGAGTTCTCGCGACATTCAAGATTATAATATAAAATATACGAGTCAGAATTTAACCTTTACTCAGAATTTAGGAGCGTGTTTTATTTAGTTTATTCCTTTCTTTAAAAATCTTGTTTTCTATTTCACTGATAGAATACTTTCCAAAATTATACATGATATATATTCTTTATCCGTTATGTTACGAATTAAAAATTTTATCCTCAATTAAATATTGAACATCGCGTCTTTTCGATCTGAATCGATCATCTATCGGACTCATCCTATATCTCGAATATCCTCTCGAACCCGACCGACTTTAACCCGACCTGAATCTAAAATATCGGGTGCTCGCACGCTTCTAGTGCAGAACAATTTCAACAATTTCAAGTTTCCATCGATCATCCAACGCAGCTATTTTCCAACATCATTAAGCTGTTAATATCACCATGAAGAGGGTAATGAGGGGAACGACAGGGAGCAAGGGGGGAAATAATAGCGTCTCGGATTGAAAACCCGTACGGTTTCGTTGCAATTGAAGCAAAGAGAGTCTTAGACCGTTCATTTCATCCGAGACACGGTTCGTTTCTCTGGACACTCCGGTGCACCGGCGATATTTATAAAGCAAACTTCACGGTGCAAAGACCTCGGGCGCAAGTGTACCGAGTCGAGCCGTAAGTTTAGGCCAAGCCCTTAACTCCTTCGGCACATCGTGCGGTTTTCATAATAAACTACTTCCAGCGACACTCGATCTTTATTATTTTTACGGCTACGCCCGCGTGGCCACGTTGTTTGCCACGATTTCCAGCGTCGGCTCGCGACCCGATTTTTCCGATCGATCTATTGAAATTTCTGCAGTATTTAAACCAGTATTCGTTGCGAGTTTTATCATACGACGCTTGTTTTTTTTTTAAATAATTGATAACACGTTTGAGCAAACACATTTGCTATCATTGTAGACTAAGAAAATATTCGAATCCAGTCGATCTTATTACGAAAAGTTTCGTTGTTTCAATTAAACAGTGTTATGAATCTTAGACTTGGTAAGAATAGAAAATTTGCAAAGATAGATCTTTTTAAAAAATTGATTCTGACTCTGATCTGAGAGAATATAATTTTGCATTAATGTATTAAATATAATTACAAAATGACTGCTATAAGTACTTCAAGAATTATCTTAGTGATTGTTATGCATACTACGACGAGTCTTCGCGTTTAGTTCAATTAATGAACAATAGTTGGTACAGACGTGGTCTGAATAATTTGATAGGTATTTTATATTCCTTTGATTAACAAACACCATGAATTTTTACGATGTATTTACATGCAGCTTCTTCAATGAAGGATTTGTCAAACAGTTTATGTTTCTAGTTGATTGTATTTAATAACTTGAATTACTATCTGAAACTGAGGGATCGGCTCGACGCGACTTTGTTACGAAGATGGTAAGACGTCATTCGTTTTATCTGTTATTCACTTCGTGTTGTTCGTTCTGATCGGTCTGCGGTATTATTGTTGTCTGCTTCCATCAATGGAAAGACATTCATATTCGTTAGAAGTATTTACAGTGGCTTGTTTGATTCGACTGTATCTTATCATTATTTTAACATTCCGACTTCGCGAGTACTTTCTCTCGATCGTAATGATTCCATTTATATTTATCGTTACAAATCAGCTATTTTCTTTCCAAGTCAATAAACCATAAACTCACTTCACGGTCAAAATTAAAACTTGAAAATAATAGGAAACGTCAAAGCTCCGTTTACTGTAAAAATTATAAGTATAATTGGTGAAAGAAGATTTATTCAAGAGGAGACATTTAAAACGTCTACGATCAGTCACAGGTTCTACCGATATAAATTTTTAAATTCAACAAGAAATTCAAGAAACCTTGGGAGTCTACGAAGCCGTCGTCCTTTTTTTCCTTTTTTTCTTTTTTTCTACGATCACCATTTATCCCTTCGTCGCAAATTTCCAATTCAAATTATTCATCTCTTCTGTTCCTCTCAAGTTACACTCTCCTCCTCGGCGGTAGTTTTATTTGAAATTAAACGAGTGCGACGACATGTTGCAACCGTTTTCACAGAGACGCTCGTAAACGGGTTTAAACCATGAGCGGGGAGGGACGTCGTAAAGTACGGTGGACAAGTGGCAGGAAACATGGCGGTGACAGGCGAAGAAACGAATTAGCGTCTTTGATTATCGAACTCGACGCTTGCGTTCGTCTTCCTTTATTTCTTTTTCTTTTTCTTCTTTTTCTCGTTTTTGCTAAAACCATGATTTACGCCGGGACACGAAACGGTTTGTTATCGGCGCGGAGGATCAGCAGCATGGATTAAGGGAGGATATGTAACGTGAAAGTGCGCGTTGTGCGTCTTGCGCAAGACACGCTTCTTCGGATTATGTATTTCTTCCACTCTAGATTACACTCTCGGACAGCGTATGACAGGCATGTGCGTCTCTTCGTTTTATTTCCGAGAAACTGTTCTTCGGTCGGCTGTGCAATCACGTCTACGCGAGCTTTTCTACGCGTTTTCATGCGTTTTCTTGCATCGAGACGAGATCCACGCGATTCCGTTGTGAGATCATGGGGCTACAGAGTGCACGTTGTTAACCCGTTTACGGTCCGATATTTTCTCTCGATTGATTCGTTCTCGATGAGTCATTTTTAAACAGCGGATGCTTGTGAGAATGTTAGCGATAAACAGGAATAAGAAAGAGAACAAGGTTAGGAAAATTGAAGACAGAGGCTAGAGAAATAAAAATTTTATGCAGTATTTATTTAGACTTATTTATAGTAAGTTAAAGAATATGAAAGTAATATCAACTTCCAAATAGTATTATTGAGTTATGTCGTTAAACGTTATTATGATTTATATCTCTACGTACAATTGAGATTTAGTAATAAAATCCGGTCAAATAGAAAATCCCAGAATTAAGTAATCTAACTGTAAATTTTTATAATCGTCGCTATAATAGAAAAGTTTCTAGCGCTTCATTCAAAAGTGGCATTTCAAAGCCGCAAGGGGTTAACAGTCTCCTGATACGGTGTTTAAATAATTTACAGATATAGGCCGTGGTTCGATCGTTAGACTGGCAATTAGCGAGGAAGAATTCATTGTTGGCCTGGATAGTTCAATTGGTTAGATCGATCGGTTGGACGATGAAAGGTCTCTGTTCGTGTCTTGCATCGGCAAATCTAATCAGTCGGGTCTGTCTGTTTCTACAATTTTAAAAACAATTTCGTTCTTACGGTTTTCAATGATTAATGAATTTTCCAGCTGATCTATTTGATAGCGGTAATCATTTGTTTGATAAATTTATTTGATAGACACTTTGTACGTGAACTGTACAGATTGAAGGTAATGTTTTATCGAGACGTTAGACTAGGGTTGAAAGGAATTACGTACTATGACCTGGATAGCTCAATTGGTTAAAACAGTCGTTCGACGAAGAAAGGTCCAGAGTCAAGTCTTGATTCAGCAAATCCAATCAATCGATTCTTTCCCTACTTGCAACGTTCAGAGGTTCTAAAGACGAACTAATTCGGCTCGCAATCGAAACATAAAAATGATTGCAATTTTGGGTACTTAGCAGTAACGTTGTAACAAAAAACAGGTAAAAAAAGAAAAACAGTATCATTGTATTTACGTCAGGCAACTTCTAAGAGATCTTTCACGATCAATTTACATATGTACGTTTTAATTTTAAGACACGTTCCCCGGGTCGCAGAAGTAATCTTCTTACTCGTCTATTAATTAGAATTTCAATGATTGAAGGGGGTTGTAATTACGAGATCGGTTATATTTCTTCGAATGAAAGCAAACCATCCAGTGATAATTAAATCCACGCAGGTAATAAACACGAACCGTTTCGTGAAATGAAGTTTCTACGGAAGACAATTTGAGAAACTGGACTTGATCATATTTTTCCTCGCATACACGCCCGCGTCTTCCGGTTTTCCGGTTATTCAGTGATTCATGGTTGTGAACAAGTGATACATTATGAGTTTACATCTACGAAGATAAAACGCGAATTGTGCGATAAATAGCAATGAATCGAA